TTCAAAGAAAACTCTATTTTAAAAATAAAACTAACTTCTCGTGTCTGCATATTAACACGTCAACCAAATCTACACATAAATTAGTAAACATTATTATACACAGAAAATTCAAATGTAACACTTCATCCTCCACGTGTACAATGAAGAAAACACTCGCATATTAACCCACTAACGCCTACTGTACTCTTTCAACGATACTTCCGTTTCAATTTTTAACAATAATTATAAAACCACAGAAAATAGTTGACAGTGTTTCTTCCTCTAAAAGTAGTTCAAATCATCGATACCTCTAAGTCAATTTACTCATCACGTTGCCGAACATCAAAACAATAAAAACAAAGACATAATTTGGGCGTTAATTTCCTCGGGGTTAAGAAAACTGCCGACAATTTATACTAACAAATTAACAAAACGTCGAACCTTTTCTTTCAAACAGTAACTTGGTAATTCAGAATGGCGTTTCTAATTACTCTAATTTTATGCGCATACATCAGAACATTACCTTGGAATGAGGCAGCGTTGGAAAAAAGGAGGGGGGATTAAGCGATAACGCAAGTTCCTAGAACGTAATCTTAGGCCAACATTTGTTTCCTTGTTTGAAAAAAAAATCGGGACACCAATGGCACCTGTAGATTGCACAGAGCGAGGAGAATTTTCATGTGGATATTTTGTAGATAATGCGTCACCAGATTGCTCCTCATTATCGGTTAATGGTCCAATGACAGCGTGTGTGCTTTTCTGAGACTGGTACCAGCAGAATTGTGCGACGCAAATGTTGAGTCATCCGCGCTGGAAATATCGTAATTATATTCTACGCTGCACATATATTTTCTCCTTGGATGACGACGGTCTTACCTGTCGTGTGCCCCAGACGATTTCAACTTAAATTACGCGACTCGCTCGCGAAAAACAACGAGACAATACACCGCGGTTGTTCTTCATTGTCTTCCTCTAAGTCGCGGTTTTCTCTATTCAGCGGAGATCTGTGCAACCATTCAACGAAATCGAACGAGTGGAAATTTGATCGTGAAGAGAGGCATTGTTTCAGGATCGAGCAGAGTATGTCTATTATTCGAGCGACACTGAGAATTTTGGGTGTTTTCAGTAATTTGAAAGTAATTTAAATTGATCATTGGGCAATTAAAGTTTCATTCTTTTCAGGCTGATATTTATTTTAAAAAATTCTTCTAAATTGTGAAAGTATCTCCTGGTTTGAAGAGTTTTGTTTATTTCAAGAAAATTTCTATCAAGCGAGAAACTGAAAATTTTGTGTCTGTTGTAATTCGAAAAGAATTTAAATTGTTCGTTTAAATAGATTATCGGGCGATTAAAGCTTGATCTTTCTTTCATTTATTTTAAAAAATTGTTCTTTTTGAAACGTTTTTAAAAATTATTTTAAATTGTCAAAACATTTCCTGGTTTGAAGAGTTTTGTTTACTTTAACACTATACCGTCCGGTCGCACCGCATTGGTGCCCTACGAAAATTATCGGACAAATGCGGGTGACACCACGTTGGTGTCTTGTGTGCCTTGTGGGTCTCACAGACGCCAGTATCGCTTGTGTTCTGTCCAAGTAACAATAAGTTACAGGTTGCAGTACGATCATATTAGCAAGTTTTGTGTTTTTACAAGAAATTTTTTTTTTTTTTTTCTCCTGAAAATCTCGGAAAACCCCCGGCGACAGGCGAAAAGATCTGAACCAGTCCTGCCGGCGCGAAACAAAAGAATCCGGATTACGCGTGCGGACGGCATAGTGTTAAGAAAATTTTTATCACGCGAGAAACTGAACATTTTTTCATCGGATTTTTCGTGAAAATCGTTTTAACAAATGAAGGTGCAATTAAGTCGAGTGAGATTCGAAATCATAGGAAAATTAATTATCGGAATAAAATAAAATCGCTTCATTTAAACACTTTCGATACTCTTCCATTACTCAGATACTTAAAACAACTCTGTTATTTCCTTGAAAAAAATACCACTATGTTTCTATTTTATCCTTTTGTACGCTGTTAAAAATTCATTCTTCTTTTAAAAAAATCTTCTTAACAAGTGGGAGCACAATTAGGTCCAGAAAGATTCAATAGCAAAATTAATCATTAGAGTAAAATAAAATCACCCTACTTAACCCTGAAATGCATGATCTTGCCAATGCAATGAAGCCATGTTGAAATTGCCAGGAGCACAATTAGGTCCAGAAAGATTCAATAGCAAAATTAATCATTAGAGTAAAATAAAATCACCCTACTTAACCCTGAAATGCATGATCTTTCCAATGCAATGGAGCCATGTTGAAATTGCCAATTTCATCAAAATACAAAACGTATTTTTTAAATTTTCATTACGGGCTCGGATAAAAAGGTTGTCGAATGTGACCTTTACAATTTTCTTCGCAATTTCCACAAATTGCAATTTTTTCAAAAAATTTTACACGCGTCATCTAGTATACTAATTCTCCTAACTTCTCAAAAAGGAACTCAAGTCGTTAAGCCCAATTTTAAAAACGTTATACCGTTCTAAAGAGTGTCCGAATATTAGTAAGAGTCACCGTGTGTACCTTGCTGGTTGTACAGCACAATTTCTAAAGTAAAATAAAATAAACTAAAATAAAACAGTGCAATAGCTACGAATAACCGACAAATTCAAACTACACCATGTGACGATGCTAAAACAAAAGAGAGTTCAGATGCGACCACAGACATCGTCTATCCGTTTATACATTCGAACAGGATCCCGTCACCTTAGAAAACACTGAAATTTAATTTAACTTCATCGTCAAGACGATGCAAGTAACGAAACAGTACATTCAAGGATCAGCACAACTCGCAACGTATCGTCGCAAATTACTTAACCGCAACACGTCGCAGATTTTCCACCGCGCTCGCGTTTAACCCTTTCGCGACTAGCGCCGGTTATATCCGGCATCCACTAAGCGCGTCGCATCAACAACTCAAAGTGAAGATTTATTACTGGGTTTATTTTCAAATACAGAACAAGGCCTCAACAACATTCCCTTTATCCAATACACCCTTAAGTCCTCTGCTGTTCCAACGAAATCCTCTAAGATTTTACACGGACACACTGGGAGCTCGAAAAACGCGAGACACGTGAGTCCGTTAGATGCCTAGTTCCGCCGTCGCGAAAGGGTTAAGAAACCAAATCGTGTCTAATCGTCGCTAATCTATGTAACACATCGCAGAAAATACGCTCGAAGCTTTATGTTTAAACATTGCATCGGTACGGTTGGAACACGCGTGTTCCGTGTCGTGTAAAATCCTTTTCCGACGTTTGATTGATTTTCCGCATTCACGATATGGGCCGTTCGAAACGCGCCAATTCGCCACGGTGCGTTTATTCTTGTAAACGATGCATTATTTGCCATGAAAAAGATAAATATGCACGCACACACCCCCTGCACCCATTCTCTACCTACCCCCGTTTCCATAGTAAGTATACATTTCTCTACAGATTGTTTCGCGTACCTGCTACACGTGATCGATCCCACGTTTATTCGTCCCTGGTGGGATGACAATTTGGAAAGGCGTTTCCGGCTTTCATTCATCGAAACGGCGACAATACGCCACGCCTGTCAAACGACGTTTGCCGTGTTCTTGTTCATTTCCTTCCGCGAAAAATTCCTCGTTTACCTGTTATCCCGCATTTTCCCCTCTTTTGTATACCTGGAACGGCGATAAATTATTTCTTCGGTCGGGTGAAAATTGTTTCATTATTCTTGTCGCGTGTAAATATCGATGCTGGATTTAGTCTGTAATTTCGTTTTTAAAAACGAAAATTTGACGAAAGGATTGGAATTACCTTTAGGTACAGTTCTCGAAATAATTCACTCAATAAGAGAACTGGAATATTCTAAACTACTTTTGCATAAAATTCTGGAAATAATTAATTTAACGAGAGGACTAAAAATATTGTAGATGAAAATTCATTCCTTTTGACGAAAGGACTGAAAATACTGTTATGTGAAATTTTAGAAACAATTCGTTTAATAAGAGGACTAATAATATCCCTTTTTAACGAAAGAATTGACTTGAAAGGATTAAAATTATTTCCAAGAAAAATTTTGAAAATTTTTCCTGTCCCAAGAAAACAAAATATACAAGTCTCCAAACTCTTACAATTTTTTGCAGCCTCTCGTCATTCTTTAACAGCAATACACATTTTACACAGTGAAATAAAAAAAAATTCTTCACGCTTAAACATTTTCAATCTCCCACGAGTCACGTCTACCGTGCTCCACGTTACAGGTACAATCGGCCTGATAAAATAATCTACGCGAGCATACTTAGACGTGTTAACTGCAAATCTGTGTTAAGGTCGGTCGAACGAAAACTGGAACGAAGCTCGTCATTCCTAAAACCACAAGCACACGCAAAAATTCCTCCCTCGAAACTACCCCTGTCAAAGGAACGAACCGAAAAAAGAAACAAATCTACCAATAAGAAACAAACAAACAAAGAAAACAACAAGAAAACACATCACAATAATATATCAGGAAAATATTATTCGAGGTTGCACCCCGAAAAAATCAATTCCTATACAAAACCGGGTGCTATCACCCAGTGACCCCCCGGTGTCTACCGGAGCCAGGTACAGTTTATAGATTAGCCAGCGTACACCGTGGCCCGCAGCTATAGCCCCCAGGCGGTTTTCCACCTGTGTGCCACCTTTCGTCGGCCCGAGGGAATCTCCGAAGGGCTGTATCAGGCGCGTGGAGTCGATCACGGTTAGCCACACGGCGAAGTGCTTCGTCCACTCAGAAACAGTCGAAAAATGGGAAAACTCTCATCGTGGAGTACACCTGAAGACACTCGACGAAAATCCCACTCGTCTGGTAGCTGATAAGCCGTCGAGAGGAATACGATATCGTAGAAAAGGACTGGATATCGAAAGTGGACGAGGAAGACGAAGAAGAAGAAGAAGATACGTTGAAGTAGTAAAGGGGAAGAGACTGGGGAGAGAGAAAAAACCAGGGTACGAATGTCTGAATGGGTGGTGTTTACTCGTGTCGGGGTCGTGGTAGCCAGGTGGATGCTGGCTCGATTCTCGACCGTGTGATCAGTCAGGCAAACGACGAGGACCAATGTCTGTTGTACCGTCTGGCCAATTACAAGAAGGGCGGCGAGCTGATCGAATCGTACAATTTGGGCGGTCAGTCGGAGGTGGAAAAATTGATCAGGGAACAGTTCGGTATACTGATGTACGGCGAGGGTAAAGGGCAGGTGATCAATCGGGCGGAGTATCTGCGTTGGAAATTCCGTGACCTCGAGCAGGTTGTGCTGCCTATAGAGGCCTCGTTGTCGCAGTTCGATCCTCTTGCCCAATGGAACGATCACGAGGCATGCTGGCAGATGCAGTACAGAGGCTCCCTAGGAGAGACCCTCTTGCACGTTCTGATTATATGCGATACCAGGATACACACACGAGTGGCGCGTACATTGCTCAAGTGCTTTCCACGACTGGCCATTGACGTCGTAGAGGGAGAGGAGTATCTCGGTGCTAGCGCTCTCCATTTAGCGATCGCTTATAACAATAATGAACTGGTGCAGGATCTGGTTGAAGCAGGCGCGATCATTTCTCAACGGGCGACAGGCAGCTTCTTTCTGCCCAGGGACCAGCAACGGACCAACCCGGCCAAGAATTCGGATTACGAGGGATTAGCCTACCTAGGGGAGTATCCTCTCGCCTGGGCGGCGTGCTGCGCGAACGAGAGCGTCTACAACTTGCTGCTCGACTGCGGAGCAGATCCCGACGAGCAGGACACCTTTGGAAATATGATACTGCATATGGTGGTTGTTTGCGATAAATTGGTACGTATGTTTGTTGTTAACACTTTCGCGACGGGCGATAACCGGACAAAAAAACGTTCAGGCGTATAATTTACAAAAGTCTGAGTACGGCAAGGTTTAGCAGCCAATTTTCCAATCACGCAGAACTACGTTGCCCGTATTCAGCTGAAGAATTTCAAATCACGCCGGTCTACGTTGCCCGTATTCTGCTGAAGACTTTGAAATGACGTAGGACTACGTTGCCCGTTGCGGATGTGTTAAATGGACAATTTATACAACATCTCTGTGTGTCGTTTTCAGGATCGTATATACAGGGTGTTCTAATTTTTCTCGATTAAACTTTGTCGGTCTGAAAAAAATATTATACGAACATATTTTTTGGTCTTTAGTTTGTACTGATGAAGATTTTGTCAAAGGGAATGTGTAAAGGACACGTAGAAAGTTTGAATTGAACGTGTAATAGAGAGTAACGTAGTTCGTTTGTTTAAGGTCAGATTTGTAACAGTAGCTGAGGTGTAATGCTTTTTATCTTTCTTATTTATCAAGTTTAGTGGTATAGTTAATATGGCAAATTCTTTATGACACCTTTTTTTTTGCAAGTTATTACATTACTTACGTTTATTCGTAGAAATATTTGTCGTTTCTTGTTTGCAACAGATCAAAGAGTAACAGTGTAACTAATTTGTATAAAAGAACGGTTTAATTCCTTTTGCGTTTCATATATCAAATTTTGTCGAGCGTTTTCATCAAATTGTGGCTTACAAAAATACTATAATAGTGTTAAAATCTTAATTCATTTCAACATTAAGGAATCTCTCAATTTTAAAAAAACACAAGTACTTAATATACTACCAAGCAACGAGAAGCATAAATGCATGGTTGCGAGAAACTTTTTATCCTAACAAAAAAGAAGAAGAAAATATCGGAATATTTAAATATAATCACTACCCTAATATTGAATTTCCAAGAAAATTATTTCAACCCCTTGCTCTGCAATATCGAGCCCATACTTGCGCTACGAATTACGCTTCCATGGAACCACAAGTGTCAAACTTGAATTGCACTTACGATAAAACTTCATTTCGATTTAAAGTTGAATAGAAATAATGTCAGACGTGAACTAGGTGCAGCGTTTCGATGATTTTCAATAATCACGTTGCTCCTGTGCTCCAGAATGGAAAATAGTAAATCCGATACGTGTGGTCAGGAAGAAAAATTGTAAGGCAAGGGGTTAATCATGTCCGTGTACAGCACACGTGGTTAAACGGCATAATCGAGTGAGCATCCGCGACATCAGACGGAGTAGATCGAATGAGCCGCCAAATTAATCGACTCACCATAAATTCCATTCCGTGAACCGGTAACCCCCTACACCGACTAAACAGTTTACTCAGTTATCCGGTTTAACGGCGTCCCATTAGAGGGGTATTCGTTTGAAAACGGGTCACTCTTGCGAATTTTCCTCGAGTGACCAAGTGAAATGTTTCGAACTGCAATTTCACCGGTGTATCATAATTCTTCTATACCCTTTAATAAATTACACGCTCGTTCTTTTAGCCTGGGGTATCTTCTCGATCTACAGTAAAAAACTGATCTCTCTAAAGCAGAAAAGTGGTCTTTCTTCGAATTGTTTACACAGTGAAAATCGTTGAAAATACTACAAAATTCGTCAATTTACACCACTTCGCTGTAATAATTTTCGAGTTATCAGACCAAATACATTTACCATCCTCATCTTTTCGGCGATTTTCACCCCGTCGATGTGGACAATTGCCGATAAAAAAAAAAAAAATACGTGTCAAATATTTTCCGTGAACTATCTCCCGCATAACTGTCAACCAAAATCGGTGTGCGTTGGTTCGATAATTTCCCTCTGGATATACAGGGTGGCCGCGTAAAATCGGCCGCCTAATTACCTATAAAAATTTTCTCGTACCGCCATAGCTAGGGAAGATAACTATGTAGCCAGTAGTTTGCGAGCAACTCGCATTTATAGATTAAAATTGGACACCCTGTGTATATATGTACACTCGCGTCCATAAGTCGTGGGACACCAGCTAACCCCGTTTTACGATAAATCAAGTTCAGATGAAAGATTCAGTTACTTATTTACCATTTACCACAGGTATGTCTGGTATTTTATTAGAATTAGACGTATTAGATCTGCGGACACGTTTGCAGCGGCCCCGTCGAGAAATCCAGGAGGAAACTTAAAAAGATGGGGAGCGTACATTGACGAGAAAATTGAAAACTTTGTACGTCCAACTTTCAATATATTTCAACATTAAAAGACTACATTCTTCGTAACTAATCGTTTGATTTAATAACGCGGGTGTTTAACCCTCGTACGACGAATGCAGGGTCATTTTGACTTAACCGCGATGAAGACAGGCGGTTCAGATTAGGAAATACACCTGTTTTATGTATCGAACGTAAATAACCAAGAAAAATATGAAATATACACAGTTGAAAGTATACACAATTATACCCAATTCTTCCCGGAACCCCTTGTAAAGTAGAAATTTTGCTACGGGTCCAAACGACCCTGCACTCGTCTCCCGCGTTCGCCTAAAACCGTCCGCCTTCCGAGGATTAACAGCGTTAATTCAAACGCTGAAAAGCTGAAATTAGTAGGTGTCCCGTGACTTATGGACGCAGCTGTACGTGTATATACACATCCGTTTGCTACAAAGGAAGAAAATATAAAAAGGAGAGAAAGATCGATTTTTTCCGAGCGAAAGCAAACAAGTATCCCCTTAAACGGGAGGGTAGCTCGGTGAAGCGGTCTATTTTTCCCCTGACCATCGAGAGATTTCCGGTAAATCGAGTACAAAAGCTTGGCTGTATAACGCAGGACATGTTCGGGTATGCTCTTCGTCATCCGAAGCTTCCTGCTCGCAATGGGATCGTGAATGCCGCCGGACTGACCCCATTGACGCTCGCCTGCCAGCTGGGTCGCGCCGAGGTCTTTCGGGAGATGTTGGAACTGTCTGCACGAGAATTCTGGCGCTACAGTAATATCACCTGCTCGGCGTACCCCCTGAATGCACTCGACACGCTGTTACCCGACGGCAGAACAAGTACGTCGTAATGCTAATCGAATTACACGCTTTCGAGAATCGTCGTCCGGGGTTTCTCGTTCACCAGCCACGCTCAAGTGGACACTCGCTTTGTGACGTACCTTCGTATAATTGTCAGGGCTCAAGGCCGAATTGTCCTTACGTCGTGCTCTCTTTTCGGTGCAGGTGAAGTGAAAGAGAGAGAGAGAGAGGTAATAATGCCTAGTAATTCGTCTACTTCCTTTCTAGAGGACTTAGGTCGAAAATTGATTAGCTTACAAGTTATGAGTTTTGTCCCGAACGCCCATATACGCGAAACACTGTGTGACGGCAAAAGACCATTTCTCTAAGCCTTATCAAAATATCGGTGCAAAGTCAAATTTTTTTGACAGCGACACGACGATGATAACCGAGAAGTCACGCGTTCGCATTTGTTCGATCGCGCGCGGATGAGCCTCTGTTCTCCGTCCCTGAGCGCGGGCTCTACGCGCGCTCTGATTGGCCACTGATTTTCGTTAATAATTTAAAAATGAAGCTTCAAACAACATTTTGGTGAAGGAAAAAGTTGTTCAGAGTAACCCCAATAACCCCCCATTTCCGGGTGTTCGAGGAGTTACGGGACACCCTGTATGCATACGGGACACCCCATATATATGTTTATAGTAACCTGTCTCGGTATGTTGATCATTTTTGCTGTTTCCACTGTACACACGCGTTCGTTTCTCGTAATAATCCTACAGCCTGAAGTGAAATTTTGGACGCGTACTTTCAGGGGAAATATTTCGGCAATTTTCTGAGGAAGTTAGGGAATTTCAAAACTCGTCTGTATTGGATAAATCGGATGTTCCGTAGCTCCGAATGAATTGTAGTTTGGATATAAGATAGATTGACCTCTTTTGCGATTTCAAATGACAAGTAGTAATACTTCGAAGTGAATTTCACAATTTCAATCGCAAAACCTGGCAGGTTTAATGTAAAATAAATTGCCATGCAAAATCAACACCTATGCAAATCTTCGAGTAAAAAGTAAGTCTGTGCCGATTCGTTCCAATAAACTCTGCAAACTTCAACTTCATCCTAACTAATCTACAACTTTCAACCACCGTTCGATCGTTCCATTTACAATACTAATGGAGAGATTCTTACCTCTCAAAAGAATCACATCCTTTCTGTTAACAAGTGCCAGTTCAATATCGAAACAAACGAAATACAAAAAGGAACGACCAACCAACCAACGACTACACCAATCTTGTGCGTCGGATTTGCGACCCACCACAAGAAATTCGGTCCAACTTTCTCGCCGACAGAAAAACCGTATAAACTTTTTTCCCCGTACCTAATATTTCACAGGTCATTGAACGCAAGTCTAATATCCCTTTCGTTTAATTCCCACGAGATTCGTCTGCGATAGAGAGGCACACAGCTCTCGTCCAACCACCCCCCCGCCACCCATCAGCCTCCTTGCACCTTCTTGCCGCGATCTGCATTTAAAGAGCTTGGCAATCGGACTTCTGCCAAATTGTATCGAAGTTTCCGCCAGTCTCTCTTCCCCGCCGACGTTAACTCACCCTCGAACTCGTGTAAAGCGGATGTATCCGCGATCGACGAGTTTTCTAGACGTTTAGGTGATTCATGGAAGACTTAGAGACAGACAGAGAGCGAGGGAGGGAAAGGGAGAGACTGGAGCCAGAGAGACAGGGAACAAGGATGCCCCTGGAAGATTGTGCAGCGGCGGGAAGCTTGGCTGCACGATAGAAATGGCGGGAGTGAAGGGGAAAGGCGGGGTAAGAAGGAAGACAAGGGAAAGCGGGTCGTTGCAGGATGCAATTACGGCCATTTAACGAAGTTTCGAGATTAGCCGCGGACGCGGAGTTGGGTGCTCGCGTTTCATTTAGTTTCGGAATCCATTATCCTTTCACCCGTCTCCCGCCTCCCCTCCCATACTCCATCACGCCCCATCGTCCTCTCCCACGTTCCTTCGTTTCCTACGAACCCGTCTTTGCCACCGCGGCGTGAATGTCATCCGATGGGTTCGCCGATAGCTGAGTCGGGACGAAACCAGTGACGAAGTATGGTGAGGTTAGGCGAAGGAGAGACAGCAAGGGTAGTCGGTATATATCAGAGGGGGTGAACTTTCGGCTTGCTACTCTCCTTCCTACCGGTACGCTTAATTACTCTAAGCCAAGGCCAGCCAGGGTCCCTGAGTTAGTTGGCCGTCGGGTAAACCAGCCGGCTAACCGAGGAAGTCCAGACTAGCCTCTACACTTCTTCGTTTCTTCTACCCTTCGAACTGTTCAGTCGGCGGTTGCTTTCTCGCCGTCGGTTCTTCTTCTTTTTCTTTCTTTCTTTTACTTGCTACGGTGGTGTGCTGCTAGGAAAGAGCGGCTGGGTGAAAGAGAGGAGCTGTCCAACGTGGAAACTTTGGATGGTTGGGTCAGTTTTAAAGAGCAAGCGTTAATTCTTCCTTTAAAGTCCTCAGATATGTCCCGGTTCTCTGTTGGTTCTCGATAAAAGCAATCGGTTGGTGATTCTTCTTCGCACGTCTCTTGTATTCTCCTTCCGGGGAATCTTTCCGAAGAATTTTAGATTTCTAAGGGAATAACGGAGACAAAAGGAGGAAAACAATGTTTCGTTCACGTTTCACTCACGTGAAAAACAGAGAGAGAGAGAGAGAGAGAGAGAGAGAGAGAAGAGGGGATAATGGGAGGTAACTAAAAGCGATAAAATTGGTCGATGAAATTTCTGACGCCTCTTTGTCTCGCCTATCGAGGACGGCTCGACGCGAAATTCCATCGGGCGTGTGCGTTCACGGGGACAGAGGTTTCCTGATATAATCTGCCGCTCTATTACATCACCGGCGATCGACTTTTGATGTTCCCTGATGGAATTAAGCTTGGAAAGATAATTTAAATCGATTAGCCTCAACACTGATGTCCGCCTCCGCTAAAACGTTAATAATTATCCGGGACGCAGCACTTAGCAATGATTATCAGCGACAGCGGCCAAGGCGAATCGTTATTCAACTTCGGTTCAACGTCCGTTTTTGCGGCTGTCGATCCACGGGATGACCATTGGCGAGGAGAGGACAGAGAGAGAGAGAATGGTACGGGGGAAAACTTCTCGGAGGTCTGCAGCCGGAGTTAGATATAATTACGAGTTACGGTAACGAGCATACAGCGGGTGTAAGTTTGTCGTGCATGGGAACTTTCGCTTGCCCCGGCTGCATCGTCGAACATTTTGGATCGAGTGATTAAAACTGTCAACCTGTTCGTCATTCGTTAAGAGGTTCGTCACCCTGATGCCGAGTTCTTATTGGCCAGAACTGTTCGCGAACAGTTTGCAAGCTGCTCGCGAACAAACGCAGCACCATATCCACACTGCAGCTCGCTAATGAGTTCACGAAAATGTGTGCACTGTTTGCGATCTGTTCGTGAAATGCTCACGAACACTAGCTTAGACCTGGTACGAGACGTTTAAAAATAGGTAAACTTTGGGAATTTTTTTCATGGGTAACCATTAAATGAAAAGTTTCAATTCTTTCAGAGGATATAAATGTAACATTCAGCTTCCTCCTTCAATTTTTAAAAAGTGAAATACTTTTGTAAGGACTGTTGACTTTGCATTGCGAACAAGGGATGAGATGAATTATTATTACTGACTATTGGTGTGTCCAAACTAAATATCACGTGTACTAAAAATCTCGAAATTTCTCAAAGTGACAACAGTATAATCCTCGATGTGTTAAGCAATATTTTAGTTCGAAGAAACCCAGAATAATATAACAGTCAGACCTAACACAATGTTAGGCGACTACTCAGGCGCAGCAACTTTCGAGATTCTAATAGAAACAAAGAAATGAAAATTCTCATGTGAAATGACATAATGTACACGCCTAACTTGCCTCAGCTCCTGAAGAAAATGTAACTATTTAGAGCACAAACTTAGAATAAGAAAATTTTTGCAATAATTTTCACTACATTTAATTCAATTACATTTCACGAAACTTCATCCGATGTAGAACGCAACAATTTTCATTAAAACATGTTTACTCTAAAAGAAAGAAGGATCAATTATGTTGTATTCCGCGGCTCGCGATTCCTTGCGTTGGTTTATTATATTCAATAGGTACGCGGTAGGAGAGCCTGACGGAAGCTGGGGCGAAATAAGGGAGCTATTCTGCGCGTAGTACTATTCGACTTTATTAGACAGTTCGGTGACGTTCGGTGCGTGAAGACCACTAGACAAAAATCTGCTGTTTCGACGGAAAAGGTTTCTAGATATAGGTTCGGTAAGTACGAGAGTAGGGGTTGGTCTCAGAGGTGAATGTAGGGAGAGGCGGTGAGGTCTAGGTTCAGCGATGAGTAAAGGATGATGTGGAGGTCTAGGTTTCGGGGTGACTAACGTTAGGATGATGCGGATTTGTTTACAGTTAAGGAAAGGAGGCAGGATGACTAAAAACTAATGAAAGATAGGAGAGAGGTATACGACAATTACCGCATCCTGTCACTGTGAAAAAACGAAAAAACGAAGCTTGCCGATTTCATATCTAAAACGCTTCGTTCCGTCTATAACAGCCTGCGCTCTCGCGTTTTCGCCATCACCAACACTAAACAGGCGCATTGTCACACGGACGCTTAGTCGTGGATCGAACTGATCGCTCTGCTCTCATAATAGCCTTTAAGCTTTCCAGCGGGAACATCAAAGTGGCTGGTGAAATTAATATGCGCGTATTGGTCACGAGCCGCTAAATACTCGTTTAATCGAATCGAACAATGGACGTACGGTATAATTTGCGGAACGATTGTGACGATTTCGTTGATCGGTCCGATCGATCCTCAGTACAGTACAGCCAGAGGAGTTGACGAACACGAACGGAAAGTTTTTCGGTGCTCGGAGGTGGGGTTCAGACGGGGATATTCGTTGCAAATTTTTCCTGCACATCTGAAATTCTGTGTGTCGGCCAAGTTCCCCATCAATGGCGTCTGCCGTCGCGGAGAGCGAGAGAAGAATGGAGATTGACAACAGACGCGGCGAACGTTAAAGTGTTTCCTCGAAAATATCCAGTGGAACTGTGAACTTTCGTGACGCTTCAAGCTACCGTGAAAGCAGCTTTGCTTGGGTCGACGACTGATTAAAGAGTCTGAAGGAGAGGGAGGGAGAGATTGCGGAGGGACACGATCGGAGGAGGCGTCGGCATCCTCCGCTTCGAAGAATTTGACACGGCGGCGGGCGTCTTGGCTGGACCGAGAAGAGAAACGAATCGGATCGATGCACGCGCGGTAAACTTTCGGAAAGTTTACGGAACGGGCGACGAACGCTTAATATTTCACGACGAAGTCAGCTGAACAAAATTCGATAATCAATACGGATGACACGGTTAAAAGTTCATTGGCCGTTGTTCAATATTTGTCGCCTCTCCAAATCTTCCACGCTCTCCGCCGTTTACTATGCTATACCGTTTTGCCTCTGTTTATCAGTTCGCTAAATTGATATGAAAGTGTTAGTTTGACGGAACCGTGTTTGGTCTGTTTGTTGATCCTTTTTTGGGGGAGGAGGGTGGACGATACTTTGGTTGGCTCGGAGGAATGTATTATGGGATCTAATGAAGTGGATGCGAAGGTAAATACTCCTAATCCTTTCACGTCCACGGACCAAATATCTCGCGGAGTGATTTGTGTACAGTGTGCAGCAATAAGAATATGTGGAATATGATCGTTTCTGATTTCGAGAACGTTTTACTAATTTCAACTCTCTACAGTCTACAGGGTGACCCATAAGGCGGGTTACGATTTAAAAATTCAATAAACTTTTTGTTTTTTAATTATTTGTGTTTGTGTTTTTTGTATAACGAAGTATCGTTATTCTACTTTTAAATGGCAAGTGACTTATGGACTGTATAAGTACATTTAACATTTTAAAATTTCTTCTTACAGACCTGATCGAGGTTTCAGGTACTTCAACGTCCTTATTTCTGTAAATTTGATTGTTTCTACAACCGAAACACGTTCACTTTGGCTCTTAATGACTTTTCAGGCTATATCGTGGCTCAGACTATATCGTGGTTCGGACTATATCGCGGTCCAGACTATATCGTGGCCCAAACTATACCGCGGTCCAGACTATATCGTGGCTCAGACTATATCGTGGCTCAGACTATATCGTGGTTCAGACTATATCGTGGTTCAGACTATATCGTGGCCCAGACTATATCATGGTACAGACTCCATCGTGGCCCAGACTATATCATGGTACAGACTCCATCGTGGCCCAGACTATATCGTGGTTCAGACTATATCGTGACTCAGATTAGATCATGACTCAGACTATAGGTACCCATCCGATTCTTTACACTAGATATCTCGCGCCTCCATTATTCAATATTTAACAAATCAATGTCGTTCATCGCACTCTAGGTGAGATATCTCGTGTCTGTATTGAGTCTACAACTGTAATTTGCACGTGGCATTCTGTGCTGTAGCAATGAAGACTCGACGAATGATAAATCGAATTATTAATGACAGTGACAGCAACGATGGCACAGAGTGTAGCGTAAGTGACGATGGCGTTAATAACAATAATACACAGTAGCGAAATATGCTATGTGTAGCATCGTTAACTAGCGCAGTAAAAATATTTTGCAACATTAAATCATGAAAGATGTTAAATTTCAGGAGTAAATCCAGTATTGAAGTATAATAAACATAATTATACATAAATATACAGGGTGTTCCACCTAAACGAAGCCACTTAAGCATCTCTTAGTTGTGACGATGCGAATACTATTTTAAATGCAATTTGAACGATGTCAAAGGACCAATACGTCGCAACGAATATTTTTGCCCTAAGGTAATTTTTTTAGAATTTTCAAAATCCATGTTTTTTGCATACAAATGCGTATTTTCTTATCTAAACGCGTATCTTTACTTAAATATAAAATATCTGCGGTAATAAAATTTTCATCGTACAATTAATAATGAACGCACTGCATATAGTATTCCATCAATATCGAATAAAATTCCAGCTCCGCCGAGTAGTGAAATGATTTAACGCTTCACGTGAAGCAAGAGAGTATTTTCGTACGCATTTTCTCGTAACTTTAATAGTGTCGTTATTGCGTCAAAAAACTTGCAAAAATTAATACATCCACGATGACTTAACCGTTATTCGTGAAAGTTAAACCATGAAAAATTATTCATAGAAGGTGCGTTTCTTACTATGCAAAGGAAAATTACCTTTTCAAATTTCCAAAAACCGGAAGTAGCTGAGAAAAAAAGCAAAATAACCGACTATGCAATTTTTACAGCGCCTGAGATCCTGCATTCTCATATTTTCATTTCTCTAACAATACCTAAACATCCCTTTTGTCACATAGACACTTTCTAGAAACATTCCTCGGCACTCTCTCGTTAAAGTCTCAAACCTTCGAACATGAAATTTTTTTTTAAATTTTCTTTCCAACAACTCCCTATTATTTTCAGAATTTCACTTGAAATGCACTTCAAAAGACATTTGGTCGATAGGAACCAATTTAAACAATTGTTTTTACGTGTACCTATAGCTCATCCAGGTAAAAAAATTATCGCAAAATATAATACATACTTAAACTGGCAATTTAAAAATTACTTCACTCCTACATGTGAATAAAACTGACGTCGAGTCACACTCGACGAAGGAGTCCAAAGGGTTAACCCTTTGCACTCCAATGGCGCTTCTATGGCGACTACTTTGGACTACGACTACTTCGGAGAACGTTGAAATGTAAAATTCAGGATTTTTTATATTATTAAAATAATGGAATAAATTCGTAAATATTACGAATCTTTGGGTTTCTAAAAGTTCCACCGCAAAAGTGTACTGGAGTCGCTGATCAATCTTATCAAAAAATGTTTAAAGTACAAAGGGTTAAAGGACATGAAACACGGCAAAAGAAATACCCGCTTAATATGACCTAAATATTTGACTACATCAAAGAAAACTTCGATTTTCCCTCCCAAAAAACGAACCCCGTAAATTTTCTCAAATTTCTCCGCAAAACCTTTTCCCACACTACGCTCTGCATCGGTAACAGTTTCCAACGGTGCATGGTGGCCATCGTTCACGGCGAAAATTCAAGCAGTGCATCGAACTAGCATTAGCTGACTTTCGTGGCATTTTTGGAATTCTTCCGTGGCTCCCGCTGAACCGGGGGCAAAGGGGTAGCCGGGGGGATGCGAGAAGGGGCTGGAGGCCAACGTAAACTTTTATCTTTACATGCAGGAAAGTTTAGCGGCGCACGTGGCGCGGTTACAGAAAAAGCCACCATCGCGGCAGGGGTCAGAAAGTGGGGTGCGACAGGGTGGGTGGGATGGAGGTTTGGGGGATGGAAACTCGTGCATCTAATATATATAGCGGCTAATGTAAAACCCATAATTATCGCGGGCGTAGAGAGAACCCTAAAGTGATGTTCCATTAACCGCAAATGGTCCTCTCCGAATTTCTATTTCAGACTGGAACTCCGCGCTATTTATCATTCTGAACGGTACGAAGGAGGAGCACTTGGACATGCTGGACGGTGGTATTATTCAACGATTACTCGAGGAAAAATGGAAGACCTTCGCGCGGGTAAGTGCGTCCACGTGACAATATTCTCGCTACCATCCACCTTTTTCCCCGGGCATTTTTCACGGATTTTTCACAAGCTAGACCAGCTTCTTCCCTCTTGCTTCGGTTAGCAACCGGTATCCATTAAACCGTTCCGCTAGGATTTCCACCGGCTTCGCTGCACTGTTTAAGGAATGTAATAGATACTGCGCGAATTACAACGAGTAATACATGGGGAGATTCTTCTTTTCCCTTTCTTTTTTTCTCTGCTATATACTTTGTCGGTGTCTTATGAAAAAAGCTTGCCACAGGATTGAATATTTGCTCGGCAAGAAGAGAAGAAGTTTGAAAGTCGCAAATCGAGTCTCCTTTCGAGAGACGTAAAAATGATAAGAAAATTCTTCCTTGAATTTTCACTACGTGGATAAATAACAGCTATTAAAGTTTCATTAGTCGGTTCATAGGCAATGATAGTCGGCTGAAACTCCACGTATCACAAAAGATACGTACCGAAATTAACATTGTCATTATGACTCGTTAATATCAATCGAGTCACTTTCGTTGACAAAAGAACGCTTGAAAAATACAAACGACGAATACTTTGAAAGGTTTCACATTTAGTAGTCATTTCTACGAAACTGTACAAGATGTCAGCTAAAATTGAACCACTCTTCTGATCCTTTATCGCAAACATCCAATTGTGTAAAATTCTAAGTCAGACGAAACATTTTTATTCCTCTGAAACGCACTTCGAGCAATTTTAATCTCTCTTGAGATTATTTTGAGATTATTTGCATCGTGTGTAGAAAAAATGATCCAAAAGGTACAATGTCTTAGACAGATAGTTTGCAGCTTTTTAGGAACGAGTGAACGGCATTACAAATCTCTGCTGTGGGTTTCTAGAGTGTAAGATTGTGTGACAATGGAAGAGGGTAGTTCATTCTGAAACACACTTAATTGTCCCAAAACACACTTAAAAGCCTTTTGTATCATCAGTATCTACAGCCTTGGCCAAAAGTATTAGGCACCCCATAAAATATGAATTATCTAAAAATGACAAACTATTGAAATGTGAAATTCGTATGCCGAAATGTCGAAAGTACGACGCAAATATTTAACAATTACTGTTTTTTTTTTTTTTTTTTTTTAAGAAAAACAATTAACTTGCTCTTTTTTCGCATATTTCAAGGAAAACTTTCTAACCTTCAAAATATCAACAGCAAAACTAAAGACAATCTGACGTGTGTCAGCAGCAAATACTATAGATCGCTCAGTTATTTTACAGCCCGCTATAAACCTCGTCATCTCTTTTAAAATTCCTTTGAACTCGCCGACAAAGGACGACGAACAATGGAAGACCTTCAACGAAACAATACCCCCCAGTAAATTCTAACAATAAAGCTGCCTAATACTCTCATCCAATGCTGTACACAGTCTCCAATTCGAAGGACTCATACACAAATCCTCAATACTAAACGACTTAAATTGCATGAAAATCGTCTGCACATCGAGTGCACGCCAAAACCTATCCATCGCTCGTCCCCTCCTATCGAACGTATTTTTACCACATACCCTAAACGTCAATCCCTTAATAATAATCGTGCAATGATAATTGGACGTGCACGTCAGCTGTCCTAATTGTTCAGGGCCGCGCGGCAAGAAGCCCGTGTGACGGTGATTTTCGTCGCGAGTATTTCGAGTTATTCCGGCGATTATCGAGTGATGTCGAGTAGACTTGGAGTGACTCCACCGGTACTATTGTCATTCGCGTGCTCGATAGCTAGACGATCTCGAGTGACACTGACAGGATTTTCCAGGCGTACACAGGGAGAGAGGGACAGCGCGATTTATTTCGATCCACGATGATATCGGTTGATCTCTGAATGATCGTCCTGCGGAATCGACGATGGTCGTCGACGTCCGACTGATTGCGGTCATAATCGCACATCCCTTCGTGCCTCGAAAGGGTTAACGACAGAGACAGATTTTTCTTCTTTTTTTTCTTTCTTTCCTGTTAAATCACTCGCGCGTTCATGTCGTATTCAAAACGACGATAGTTCTTTTGTTTCTTCGATGCGATCCTGTTGAACGATAACAGAGGGACTCGTGATGTGCGTGGGTAATGCTACTCCCTGTTCTTCCCTTTTTTCTTCTTCTTTCTTTTAGGGAAGAAGATGGATTAGGTAATGTGTGTGGTTGTTAATCAACTGTCGGTCATTTTGAGCCGAGTCGAGGAACAGATCTTCGAGATTGCGCTATGCAAATTCGCGTTGCTCAAACAGGCGTTACATAGGATGGTTTGTAAGTGCGGGAGAATCACTTGTCAGTGTCAGGACGGATTTACATGTTAAAGAAAATGAAAAATGTCGTGTATGAATGTAGGTTGCGCGGGTTGTAATTTGCGTCACAGGGGGCGCATTAAGGGTTACGCCTTGATGTCGGATTCTGGGAGACTTCGAGGTGTCGCTTTTGGGATCGTTGTTGATCTCATTGTTAATGGATCTGTTTAGGAATTTTTTTTCAGAGGTAACTACCGAATGGAGAGTTTCAATTTTTTCAGAGGACATCAACGTAACTTTCAGCTTTTCTCTGCGTTGTTCAAAATGCTGCAAAGTGGATTTCTTTTCGATTTATAAACAAAAATGTGTTACCTGCAACATGGCTCGCGATTTTCCCGATACGTCAATTCTTTAATTTCGTAGAAATGTTTAAGGTTGAATTTTATTTTACAAAAGGTTCTTCAAACTACAGTTTTTGTATTTTTCGAATTTTTTCTTTCGAGAAAAAGCTGAAAGCCACGTTTATATTTTCTGAAAACATTGAAAATTTTCATTTAGTAGTTACCTACGAAAAAAATTCCCAAGCTCCACTCAAGGTGGTGCAAACACCTCTTAAAGTGAGCGCAGGTAAAAAAGTTGATACTAAAATGGTGAGATTTTGGTTCAGTACGTTGAATTCGTCAAAATGGTAACACTGTATATTTCGAAAATTGATAAAATAGGAAGCTAAAATTTCACTGGGAATAGCGTCGAGCGATTATCAACAGTTTCTGTGAATTGGAAAAAAAAAGAATTTACGATCCCAATTCCCGCACGTTTTCACGTGGAATAGTGAGTTTGACTAACTCCATAGTTCAAAGTTTTTCCACGAATATATTCATGAAATCGATATTACCTTCTTTATTCCTCGCCGTAAGAAAAGAAGTTGGTATCGACGAAAGGAGGGAAATTTGCAACTGCCCTTAAAAAAATCAACGAAGTAACGTTGCATATAAATTCACCGCTTATACGTTCATCGTGAATGTACAATACATGCACCGCGGCATTTTCGAACCTTTTTTTTTATTAATTTCTTCTGTTAACTTCCCTATTGCTTCGCGCAGCTTCCAAAATGCACGCACGAAACTTTAATGGACCGTGAATTACACGCAGAATTTACGAAAAAAATTCTATTTTTTAATTTCACCTGGCTGCATTTTCCATATCCAGAAACGAGAACAATTATGCGATGACTACTATTTCGTGTACTATTTCGAAGCTTGTTTAAAACAAAAAGGAGCGAAAAAATATATACACAAATTCTGCAGAAATTTTCTTTCCAATTGTTACCAATTTACATTTCATCTGCTTTTTCCTCTTTCTTCGAAGAAAGTATTCGAAATTCTGCTTTCTCGAAAGGTAGATTGGCATGAGATTTAGCTCACGCGTGCGCAACTAATCGCCCATTAAGTGCAATCGTTTTTTAAATTACCTTCGTGCACTTTTCGTGTTACGTTATTTTTTCTATTATGGCAAAGAAAGTCGGCGTTATAAATAACGGGGAACTGGTTTCTGCGCGGCTAGAGAATAATTTAAAAAGATGGCGAAGCTGATCTTATTTGGCATATCGGGTTGAGAAAATGTTTAAGTTACTGGGTTATATGATAAGCTTGAAGAATAAATTGATTCGAGGTTGATGAAACGTTCGAGAAACTTGTAGCAGAGTTAATGGAACATCCTGTATAAGTACGGCGGAACATTATAATGGCACAGCATCCATGACATATCCCACTTATAGTGCTAATCACGACCACGTTTAAACCGCATACAAGCGTCAAATGACCAATTATGTCATGATATTGTACGCAGAGATTAGCACGGTTGTAGTGTAATTAATCACGAAGCAAATTTGATGGTAACACGTCATTACGACAACTCCATGGACAGTTGAGAATATGCGATACTTGAAACATTCGCCAATATTGTTTTGTGCATTGTTACAATCGAACAATTTCGCTGGAATTATATTTCACACTGTGATTCCCTTAAATTTATCTTATCTTTACTTCTACCTTTTTTTTTTTTTTAATTTTCGCATTATTTGTTATAACGTCAAATTTTGTAATTTGTTACAGTTCAACGACGAGAGATTGTCAACATACTTGGAAATTAATTTTTTTCTTTCTTTTATTTATTTTTTACTTTTATGTTGTTTGTTGTAATGTAAAATTGATATATTAATTACAGCTTAGTGGTCAGAGATTTGGAAATTTATTTTTACCTTCCTTTTATTTATTTTTTATTTTCATATTGTTTGTTGTAATGTTAAATTTATGTTCTTATGAAATAGTCTGAAGTAATGTACCTAGATCTTACTATATTTTTTCACGAGGGTAATTGTGTAATTTTTAAAGGTAATTAAACGTTTTCTCAATGTTATTAACGTTCGACACTTTTTCTTAAATTGAAAGTACTTAAATATTCTTCATTTAGAAAAAATTTGGATTATTACACTTCCTGAATTACCAATTTTCAAAACACAGTTTGATTTAATATTTTTGTAGCTAGAATTATATAAAATTAGAACGTTTTCTTAGGGTTATTAACACTTAACACTTTTTTAAAATTGAAAATACTTAAATATTCTTCATTTAGAAAAAATTTGGATTATTACATTTCCTGAATTACCAATTTCCAAAATGCACGATATAATTTTTGAAAATATTATAAACATTCTACTTTCTGCTTTCACTCGATTAATGAAAAAAAAAAGCAAACTATTTATACACAGTATTGACTTACTGTTTTCCCCACCACGCTTTGTTTTCCTCAATATGCGAAAAACTACGCGGTGTGACAATAAAGTTTCAACTTTCGAGAATAATTTTGTTTCCGTCAAAGTGGCAACAATGTACACGGTTACGTCCCCCCGTTATGTAGCCTGATTCCCCTTCTACCTGCATGCGAAAGGTAAACATTGTCAATCGAGTCAAACGGTTCGACCTGAAATTGCTTCGTCGTGGATTTTGCATCATGACAATGCTCCCGCACATTCAGCCGTTCTAGTGAAAGAGTTTTTAAATTCAAAATTGATCACAACGTTACAGTACGCTTCGTATTCACCTAATTCGTCTCCTTGTAACTTCTTCTTCTATTTCCTTGAGTAAGAGGAGTCGTGAAAGGAGCGCGTTTTCAGTCAGTTCTTCAAATTTGAAGTTAGAGTACCAGAAATATGTATTATGATCGATGGATCCTGTGTACAGTCTCAGGGAGACTATTTACTTTGAAGGCGAAGGCCTCAAATCAGTATAATTTTCAAATTAAAATTTTTAAACGAATTATTCGCGAAACTTTATTGACATACTTGTTTAATTTTCAAAATAAAATTTTCACATGAATTACTCTCGAAATTTGATCGACACACCTTGTACATACTTAAGTGTCGTTTTGTTTGATCACTGTATTGTATCATTATATTCTACTGTTGTGTCATAGTTTCTGTATAATTATTTACACTAATTTGCATAGGGTGTTTAGCAACTGTTGGTAGAAAATTTTAGGGGCAATTCTACAAGCCAGAATAGGACGAAAATGAAGAATAAAAAAATTGCGTTTAAGGCTTAGTTTTTAAGTTATCAACAATTAAAGATATCCCCGTAACCGAGCAACACTCCTGACACCAGCGAGATGATTCTTAACTTTTTCATTGCTGTTGGCGTTCATAGGCGTGTTGAAAACTTTCCCGCACCGTACATTTCGCGCCTTTTGCTGCACTTCCACCGTAATTTAATCCTTCGTTTTATTTTTTGCGCACTTCCACTTTAATTTAATAAAACAAATTCTAACACGATGCGGCCAAAGTAAAAGATTTTGCGGCCACGGTTGAACACCTACCGTCCGTCACGTGCGTTACGTATTAAAATCTGCCGCAGTAGAAAATTGCAGAGGAAGAATTGACATTGTAAGAGAAATCGAAGATTAAAAATGAAAATGAAATACTGGCAGAAATCCGATTAATGTTTCCTACAGTCCACGAGCCTGCTCAGATGAGTAATTAACAAATGTGTACACCACAATTGTCACACACAACGCGCACAAATCGCTGAAAAGCAATCGCTGTGTACTGCAATATTCATACACAGGCGCGAGCACAAAATGTCGCATGCACTCGGTCACGGGGAAACCTTTAATCGTTAATAACTCAAAAACGAAGCCTCAAACGCAATTTCTGTATTCTTCATTTTCGCCTTATTCTAGCTTGAAGAATCGCCCCTCAAATTTTCTAAAATTTTCACCAATACTTACCGAACACCCGGTATGTTGCAATATTGACTTCGGTAAAATTCACTCGTTAGGTATAAAAGTTCGAAATACTCGGTAAGACTTTACAAGTGTAAAACACAGTTTAGTAATTACGAGTTCTTGTTTCTTGTGCCAAAACGGAAAAGGAATAGCAACTAACTATAAAATTAATCTATATTTGGAAGAATATTGTGTTTAACATTAAGTAATTATTGTAGATAAAAGCGTTTCAAATATTGATCATTTCAATGATGACCGAACTCGTCGGAAGTTGATCAGGAGACTGTGTATATTTATGCGCACGAAATATGTCTAAATATGCAAACAAAATACGTGAAATATGAAAATACAATATACGAACATATGCAGAAATATACAAGCGTACACAAAGAATATGCGGGATACGCAATAAGTGTATTCAAAATATTCCGTAATAATGGACCTTTTATTATTTAAACATCATGATTGTAATTTAAATTGCAATGAAGTCGAAGCATTTTTTCCACATTAACCATAGTTAAATAATATCACATTTCACGAAATATGATAAAGGTGTACGAGATATGCAATATGAATACTTAAGACACCCATTAGCAACTTAAAAAAAAAAAATGAATACTGGTAAGTATTATCGTTTCTAACTTTTTCACGTTGTTTTCTGCATGTATGCTTCCACTTGTATCGATATGAATTTAATTTTTCAATTACATTTCACTTAGCCTGAAAAGTCACTTTCAGAAAGTCGCTAATGGGACATTTTTGACCCAGCTAGTCGTTCTGGCGTTAACAAAGACTATGCAAAACATACTAAACATGAAAAATAAATAGTAAATATTTAAAACCCATTTTAACCCCTTGTCATATGATTTTTTTTACTGACTATGCACCTAAAAGTCAGCTGTCCACTGTTTTAATACTAGGTCAGACAAGACGAGCTAGAATATTATACACACGTCATGTACTTTTGGCAATCCTCAAAACTGAAGTCAGAATTTAAACGAATCTTCAGTGTCAACCTAACTATTTTTACTGTACTGTGATTACAAGGTAAGGGGTTAAAGACAAAACAAATTTCTATCCAATTTTATTACCAATTTTCTATAAAAACATGCATTTCTAATTTGCAGCCTAACGATCAATTAACAGGCTGACGAAAGTTCCGCCCAAAAAAACCAAGCGACTGATTTTTCTCACCAACCTAATCATTCGCAATTGAACCCCTCCGTCCACGGGCGCCGCCGAAATCGCGTTCTATTTATTCTGTCAATTTCAACGAGCTATGTTCGGCGTTGAACAACGAAAAACGTATAATTAAAAACACTTTCATGAAACTTCTTTTCATACCCAGAAACAGTTTCAATAATATCTCTTTACCGAGAAATAAAAATGTTTCGTTAAACGCGATATTCGCATTTCTCCCAAGTCGCAAGTTAAAATAAATAAAAATACCTCCTTTTCCTCGGCGTATTCCACTGAAAGTCTCCCTGAGATAAACCTAAATACACAAGACCCAAATTTCGGCCGCGATTTTTCTCAGAAAGACACGACAATCGGCCGGAGGGTTCGAATAATCACTCCGTCCCTATTTCTAACATAAATACCGCGTTGTGCCCGTACGAAAGTTGCAGTTCATGAAGCGTCTGATCATCCTGGTGTTCCATCTGACGTCCCTGTCGTTGGCGGTGTACTTCAGGCCGTCGAACGCGGACGCGGCGCTCCTGAAATGGCCGGAAGAGATCACGGAGGCTGCGCGAACGGCAGCAGAGTGCATCACGGTGATAGGCGTTCTCGGGTATATTCTGGTGCAACTAGGCGGCGAGATCATCAACATCGGTCTTCTGTCGTTCCTGAAACAGTTGGTACGCCCGGGGACCTTGTTTCCTGGCTGGATCCGTGCTCGTTGCAGTACGGACGGCCCAGCCGTGAAAGTTACGATCGTGAAACGGTCCGTTCCTGTTGTCCCGTGCACTAACAGAAAGAAAGAGAGAGAGAGAGACGGAAGCAATTTCGAATCTTTGGAACCGCGCCGCGGCTATCGGAGAGGTTGAGCAAACCGCCACTGAACTGTAACGGGTCACGAGCACAGTGGCTAGAAGAAAGGAGGTATTTCGTCGTGAAAACGATGGATACGGAGTTTCTTCTTTCCATTTCTTCTTTCTCTTTTTTTAGTCCTTTTGGTTGAACGGAGTGGTTAGACGGTGCACGGGGTTCTAGCTGTTGTTTGGAGCTAATCGTATGCAAGAGAGATTTTTTGGGTTGTAGTTCGATAGAGTAGTGTGTTTGTACGACTCGAGATAAGTTTTTAAATTGTACCATATTGGAATATTGGTATACTGTTAACTGTACGAGTTTGTAGAGATATTTATGAGGATTGGTAGGTGGTTCAATGGTACATTTAACCCTCGTACGACGAATGCAGGGTCATTTTGACTCAACAGCGATAAAGTCAGGCGGCTCGGATTAGAAAATGTAAATAAACGAGAAAAATATCAAATATATATTTGCTATGGGTCAAAATGACCCTGCAAATAGCATTCGTCTCCCGCGTCCGTCTAAACCGTTCGCCTTCCGAGGGTTAATAGGCAGGATGTGCAATGGTATACAAAGTATTTCGAAGGACGAGTGTAAACATTGATTCGAGTGTAGAATATTAGGTGTAAGTCTAAAGCAGAAAGTTCTAAAGTTCTAAAATATGAAAAGTCGAAGTTCTGTGTACATTTCGCAAAATTTGTTCTTTTTTGTCTCGTACAACATAAACATCGTCAAACTTTGCGTTTCTTTGTTGAAAAACTCTAATTTTGTCGGCGAAAGTGTCCAGTACTATACACTTTTAACGAAGCCGAAAACCTTGCATATTTATATATGTATGTATGAACATAGATATTAGGACACTTGGCTCCCATTCGTGAGTATTAGAACATCTACTGAATGTGAAGTATACCGAAATCTATTGAAATCTACTGTACTCTGCTGAAATCTAAAGTTTCGTTAGTTCGTTCTGAGTAATTTCTAAGACTTGCCACAAAATTGAATATTTTCTCTCTCTCAACGTACTCTACTCGATAAGAAGAGAGAAAGTTTGAAAGAGGCCATACGTCGCAAACAAATAGTTTGTACGTTTATTGTTCATTTTTGTACACCCTGTATGTCACATGAATGTGTTTTCGAGAGACGTAAAAATGATAAGAAAATTCTTCCTTGAATGTTCAGTACGTGGATAAATAACGGCTATTAAAGTTTCATTAGTTAGTTCATAGTCAAAAATAGTTTACTGAAACGCACAACTCCACGTATCACAAAAGATACATACCAAAATTAACAATGCCATTATGACTCGTCAGTATCAATGAGTCACTTCCGCAGATAAAAGAGCACTTGAAAAATAGAGTAACCAGTACTCTGCTAAAATCTACTAAACTTTGCTGAAATCTGCTAGATTCGACTAATATCTATTGAAATCTTTTGAAACCTACGGAAATCTACTAAAATGTAAAATTATTTCACTCGCAAAAATGATTAAGCTCTTAAAAAAAAGAGTCGTCTGGAAATCGTACCATACTTTCTGTACAAATATAACGGGTGTTCCAATACTCAAGAACGGCGGTGTAAATCCCCGAAGCTGAATGATCAAGACGTTACGATCAATAACGATTACGAAAGAACCCATTGAAAACTCACGATCGAAGAACCCGAAAAGAGCTCTCTGATAATTAATGCTTCGAAAATTAGAACTGACAGCTGAACCCCGTTTCCCGCTAACCTTTGTTGACCGCAAGTTTACCCAGTTTATCCGTGCGGGGCACCGTTCGCGAATTAATTTCTCAATAACGACGAAATTACTCGTAAATCCCGCGCTCACTCATTCAGCATTCTCGTAAGAGGGAATACGTAATTCGTAATTAGCCTGGGCATGCTCGATAGCGTAGACATCGAGTGTGCGATATAATTAGGACGGCGTGACATACGGGCTGGTATCGCCAGTTATTAATCGCGATCGTGTATCAGAGAGCCGGGTTTGACCAAGAGGAATCACGGCCGTGGAAACAATTTGCAAACGACGTTCTCCGACCCTTTTCAAGAATCCCGATCTCTACTGTTACGGAAACGGGAATTACATACATCACGTCGTTTGGTTGACGACGCAACGCGTTGCCACGTACACCGAAATTCCATGGCGTATATCGATTCCTCTGCGGGAGAGAGAGATAGAGAGAGACAGAACGAGAGAAAGAGAGAGAGAGAGAGAGAGAGAGAGACCGTAAAGCGTGCAAGAATACGTGCTACCTTTGACGTTTCACCTGTACATTTTACCTTACAGAGTCACGAGCCCGCCAAGTTCATATTCGTGATCAGCAACCTGCTCATACTCGCGTGCATACCGTGTCGTCTTGCTGGTAACAGGCATGCGGAAGACGCGATACTCGTCGTAGCTGTCCCCGGCTCGTGGTTTCTACTCATGTTCTTCGCCGGGTGAGTGATATCCTGTGTTTTTTAATTACCCGATGCACTCGCTACACGTGTGTCTCCGTGTGAATTTCTTTATTTATTTGTCTGGTCGGTACAAATTAATAGAACACTCCTTTCCAGCATTAACCCCTTGACCTATGATCCTTTTTCTGATCGTGCATCTAAGCGTCAGTCATTTACTGTTTCAGCAACGTATCAGGTAACAGAAACTAATTTTTCATGGATTCGTTGGAAGTTAGGATTATAATTAATTTTTCTTACTAATTGACCAAAATCTCTGCCACGAGTCCGACACGTTATTATAGGTCAAGGGGTTAATCCCTACATCGAAACAATGCTATAAACTGTTATAAACGTTATAAAACCAAGACGCATCGCGGTCATTTTCACCTCCCCTTTTTCGTTTTTGGTATTTTTCCGTATTCATCCGCTTTGTGCAAGCTTCTTCCACCCTAAGTTTCTCCTTCCACCAGTTTTTCTAATGTCTAATTACATAACTGCCTTTATGGGTTCCTCTTCCGACAGCCGACTAATCACTACACACATGGACGTGATGTATTTTACCACACGAACATTCCAACACATTAGGCTAAAGAACATTACTCTAAGGGACACTATTCCAACAAGCTCTGTTGGAATCAAGTATACAATAGTCTACGGCAGTGCTGTTCAGTCGTTGCCCTACGGGCAGCGTATTAGGCTTCCCTGGGCGTGAACGAATCGGCGGGCAACGGTTCGTGTGCGTATACATTTATGTAAATAGTAAACATCGTCCGTCTTAACACATTAGTGTCGAATCGCGCACATATGTGTTATTCGGGTTTTTCACTTGAAATACGTCATTGAGATTTTCACATATCTGCCTGAAAATAAATTTATAAAACGCCACAAGTGATTCTATTTCTCTTCAGAAATGCCACGGCAGATGTTTCACGAATTAAAGTAATTGCATACGTTTCACGAAAAAGTAATTTACCATATTCCTCGAAATTTCTTTAAAAAATATTAATTAGTTAAAAAGTTAGGATTGAAAGAAAAGACGCGAAATCCCATCTTTTCAAACGCCTCGTCGCCAATGCGTTAACCCTTTCACTGCTATTGGTGTCTATAAGCGTTTTGAAAATTTGTTCGTATTGTGCTATTGGAGCCTTTTGGCGCACTTCCATATTAATTTAAGCCTTAATTTTATTCTTTGCACCCTCCCACGTAAATTCAATAAGACAAATTTTAAAATGATACAGTCTAAAAAACAAAATTTTGCGACCGTTGTGGAATATCTGAATCTGCCACACGCGTTATGTAATAAAATTTGCCGCAGCGAAAGGGTTGAGAAGAACCTATATCCCCACCACAAGCGTCTTTCCTTCTACTCTCCTTTAATGAGTGTGACATCACTAGCCCGCGATTTCGTCCTCAGCTTTGCCCGCGGGCATCGGCGGGCACAGATCTTGCCTGCCGGAAGGCATGCTGAACGGCAGTGGTCTACAAAGTAGCTCACAAAGGTTACTTTTCTTTACCTTCACACAACCACCAGAATATCGCCCTTTCGATCGTTAATTTATCTCTAATCGGTACTCTTCGCGTTCGTGGTTAAATATAATCGTGTCATGAGACTAGCATGGTACAATCTTTATTATTGTGAGTAGATAGTTGGTAATTAGTGCTGATTGGCAATTTATTATTGCTGGAGATTAGTAGTTAGATAGTAATTCGCAATTAGTGGTTGATAATCTTTATTGGAGATAATTGCTAAATAATGATTTGTTATTAGCGGTCGTTAGTGATAAGCAATATATAATTATTGGGAATTAGTGATTAGTTATCAATGGCCGTTAGAAATTGGTAATTGATAATTTATGATTTTTGGAAATTGGCAATTTCGTTGGAATAGTGATTTATGAGTATCGAGGGTTAGTGAGTGTAACGAATTAGCGATTACCGGGGACCAGTAATTAATAATTATTGGAGTTCGTTATGATTATTAGTAATTCTTGTTTAATTAATTTACGATTGTTAGCAAATATTGCTTAGTCCACTAATTTCTCATTACTGAATATCAGCAACTAGCAATTCGTCACTTTTGAAAAAGAGCAATTAGTTGTTAATAATTAGATGCAGAATTGGCAATTCTTAGCCATTTTCACAGCTATAATACTACGATTCCTGTTTCTTTTTAAATGAGTTTTTTAAAAACTCATTTTCATTCACACTTGCGTACAGTAACAGTGTTGTTCTTAAATTTAACACTCTTCTTATAGTTACAACGTTATCTTCTCACGAAAGCCACGTGTAATATATTCTCCAGAGTAGAAGATACGATAGGAAATTATATAAGAAGCTTACTTTGCTTAACTGATGAGGTTCTTGATGTATTACTGATGAATTACTCCCACTAAAACCACTTGTACACACGTAAATGGTAATTGCGTTAGCAATAAGATATAGAATGATCGCAACAACCATACCAGTCGGAGTATTAGTCGTTCCCACGAGCTGTATTTCCCACGATTTCTAGATTAACTTGTTTTATCATTAATTCCTATTTTACTCATTATGCTACTATATATTTTTCATTCGTTACTTGGAGAAACTAAAAATTGAATTACCAACTGTATTAAGCATTGTAATTCACGCTTAGAACTTGCATTAAAGCAAAATTAAGCAAAGAATAGCAAAAGAAAAAGTGGCTAATTCAAGTGAATAATTAATTTGTAGAATTATAGTTGTGTCATAAAATATTGTTTCAAATACAGAATACAAACAATTCCTATTTTTATCCAGAATCTCTAGAAAGCTTTACTTCATTCACGTTAGGTGTTACTTTTTATCTAATAAAAATTCATAGCTTTGTTTTTAGAATATCACAAAAGCTCAATCATACTGTATTTCATTGTGTTTTCCCTACCTAAACCAGCTAAACGACTGTGTACATACTCTGTTACGTTAATGGCTTGAAAAATAATCCGATGTGTACGTTAAAACCCTCTCTGTACATGTGAATTCTATGTATGTACTTACCTCCTGATTTGCATATTACCTAAAACTGATTACATCCTAACGACTAAACTTACGAACTGCTGAATTAACGCTTAACGCATTGAAACTGCTGCGTGGGTCACCGCTGACCCTCGATATTTACACTGCCGGCCGAAAGTTTCGAATCACCTCCCAATTTTCATCAGTACCGAATCTGCTACTAATTTTTCATAGACTTGATACTGATATTGCGGGGATAAATAGCAATTGGCCTCATATCGATTGATTTGAACGATAAAAAAATTCTTAAAGCTGCTGACTTTTTTCTCGGAATTTTTCTGCAACTTGCAATGCACAGTGATTCCAAACTTTTGGCCGGTAGTGTATATCTGAAACTAAATCTTTCCACAGAAATGAAGAATAATCCACCGTTAGATATTACAAGCGAATTAAAAAAAAAACAAAAAATATTGAAAATTGGAGAAATTTAAATACGACAAATATTCACTTGTACTTAATACATACGGTGACCTAGAAATAATTCACCACTGACAATTATACAAGATAAATTGTACGAAGTTAAACACAGTCGATATTAAATAAATTCGTCATTCTACCTTGAAATATACCCAGTGACTGAGAGATCAATTAACACTTGGAATTAAAGTGACGTGGAAACATTCTGAAGTGATAATCACCGATTCTGACGAAACTTTGGTACAGTTCCAAAATGTTCTCGAAAAAATATTTGACACGTATTCTTTTATATCAGCAGTCCCCCATAGAGAAGGGGTGAAAATCGCCATCAAAGTTGGAGGTAGTAAATATATTTAGCCTGACGTCTCGAAAATGATTAGTAAGTTGGCGAATTTTGTATTTTTCACCAACGAATTTGCAAAATGAAAAATAGTAAATAATTTTCACTCATTCAATGTGCACGATTGCCGATAAAAAAAAAGTGTGTCAAATATTTTATCCGAGTATTATCATTAGACTGCGGATTTTTATGCAAAATTGCACAGAATGCACGTAATATGAAGAAATATACAAAATATCCGAATTATAGTGATTTTTATAGTACCCGATGGGTAAAATCATTCTCTACCGAAGTTCTACCTTTTCTTACTGTATTCTCGAAAATATGAATTTGCATAAAAATCTTATTCAAAAATAAAAATCTTTGCATAAAAGTCTAATTATCATATATCAAAGTTTCATCGTACCATATTCTGCACAAAGACTCACCGGACTCTTTATGGGAAATTTAACCCCTTAAATCGTTTGTGCACCAACGCGAACAAATTTTGCAACAATCTTCATTTTTTTCGGGATTTCATATCTATCGTTTAAGCACTCTGTTCTAACCGCTGTAAATAATCCTTAATTTACTCTTTCTCTTGCGTGTTGTTCTCTTATTTTTCCGTTTTCTCATTTTATTCTATTTTATTTTATTTCGTTTATTTTTCTTTTCCTCTTCTTTGATTTTCTTCTCTATTCTGTACTGTACATTATACTACTGCTCTGCGTGAATTTCAACGTCTGTATACTACAGCCCGTTGATTAACAATCAAGTAAATAAATATCGATGATTGTCTCTTAGGGACGCTCCCTCGTAAGATAACTAATGTCAATCTGAGAATAATATAAGAAACAAAAATTGTCCACACTGACAGAAAAATTTCTCACTCATCAGAAGAATATCGAACACTGAAGTATCTGAAAAAGTAGAATTTTCGAAAATGAACAAATTTCGATAAATAAAATCCGGCACAACTCGATATTTATTCGTAATTTTATATTTCAATATACTCGCTTTACACTCCCATTGGAATTTCTAAATTTCGCACAATACTCGACCGTGTCAATATTTCATTATTCGACTATTAAACGTACGGTGACGCGTTAATCATAACGATTAACTATTAAAATTTCGTCTGTGATCGTTACCCGAGCGGCATTTATCTATCGCGGCTTTAACGTCGCGTTTCGTTAATAGAATGTGAGTTATTAGCGGCATCAGTTTTTGT